TGCCTGTTACTTGAATAGTTTATTATGGAAAAAATATTATTATAGATTAAAAAATAGGGAATAATAATACGTAAGTGCGTAATTCTTTTAAACGTTGCCCTACACTAGGATTTTCTCTTGTATCGTGGTTGCGTTAACAAATAATATACATACAATAATTTGTGAATCACACAAAGAGTTGCTCCGTGCAGGAATCGAACCTGCTACACGTTGCGCGGCAGCAGACTGCCCAGCCACCGCGCCAACCGTACCGTCGAAAATCGTATGGCAATAGTTCAGTTAATGATGTTTATTAAAGTAAAAAACATTCCTAGTAAAATATCGATTACATAATTGATAGTGTACTACGTCCCGTATTCGATTTCGATACTGGACATTATAGAAATTCAAATTTTAACAAAAAAATATTAGTTAGTAATCTGCACTGAATAAATAAAATTCTTTAATAAATGTGAACAAGTAAAAGAAACCTATTTTAAAAACCACGAGACATCCCTAATTAGTATACTCCCTCACACTAACACAAGACCAGACAATAAAGACCCATTACGGCCAGTAACAGCAACTGACAGCCCTACTTCCTCAACAATTTCAAATGAAAAAGATAATGCCAAGAAGTCCGACTCTTAGTTAACTGAGCTCCACAGCACAGAACTTCCTGAATTTTTACTTTCAATTAAAGAGTGCTAATGGAAAAAACTAAGGGACATTCACAATGGTTGATCATTAGTAGAAAAAACTTTTTTGAAACGCTACCAAATTTACTCTTGATTCTATTAAACGGGAACTTTGGTTGTAAATCACAAGTTTTTTGTAAGCAAATGTCCAGTCTAATGTAGACTTGATGAATTGCAGCTTTGGACCTTTTTGTTTTTGGAAAGTAATTTATTAGGGAACTGCTGATGCGATGGAAAAACTTAAGGGTATTGACATTTTGTTATCTGTTAAAGATCTTGAGAGGAAAGGTGAATGGGTCGCTAGGGAGATTGAATGTCACGTCGTTGCTAAAAAAATGTTTGAGAAAAAGTGTTTAAGACGTCGTTTTTTCGTTTCTTAATTAATGAATAGGTACCTACGGTGTTTTTGTAGAAATTGAAAATGATCTTGCAAATATTTTAGAATGTCGGGGATCTAATATAAAAGTTGTCGTAAAAATATTTATTTCACCAAATTAGAGTTAGTACAATAAGGTATTAGTGTTGTAATGTTTTGGGTAAAATATAAGACTTTTTTATGTATTTGATTTCGTGACTGAATTTCAAAATTCGTTCTTAGTTATAGTGTCTTTGAAATGATTATAATAATTTAGAATGTATGAAAACGAGTGAATTCGTACAATTACAGTCTGCTTGTTTTTATATAATTTTAATGTAACAGTTTATCTTGATGAAAGTTTTTTGGCCATACAATGAGAATAACCTTAACCTTTAATTGCCAGAAGTCTCGGTAGACGACAACCTACCAAAAGTAAGTCACCCTAAACTACAGAACAATTAAACTAAAAAGGGAGGATCCTTTAAAACGAATTGTTACGTCTAATTTCTTTCAGCAATTCGCTTTTTTTTAGTTTGGGGGGTACCTCGTTAACTTCGGTATTTGCCCACCTTTACCTCAATTTACTTTAACGATGCCCTTGTAAATCCAAGGAGACCAGTCCTTTTTGTCGTTGACTCTTGTACTGTTAAACCAAACTAAATTTACACTTAGAAAATCAATATCGTCCAAATCAAATGTCTTATCATCTTTGTCATAAGACCTAAAATCGTTTACTACTTCTACTTCGCGACAACGTCCAGCTTTATCGTAGTAATGAGTCTAATGAAGGTTTTTCAAAAGGGTAAGGTTTACCAAGCGGCATTTAATTAAGACAGGACAAGCTCTGTTGGTAAATTTTCTTTGAATTCACTCAAATGTTCTTTTTGCGACTCTTCCTCATTAATTGATGGTAATTTTGGGGAGCCGAACAAATTATGTAAATACACTAAGTTCGAAATTACCTAATTACATTTTGATATGAAGATCAGAAAACCATAATTCTTATGCCTTTCGTCTTGGCATATAAACAACAAACACACATGGTGCGCCACTTGCAAAAACAAGCGTTCCTACTGCCGATTTCAACATTGTTCGAAATGGTAAATATTTGTCCTTTCTGTGGGAAAGCGGAACTTCTAAGTATCTGACCATAAGACCATAAATACGACAATTTTGTACCAGTACACTTCATTTGTCTGCGTTTTTAATCGGACGAGTAGTGAAAAAATATATTATGAGCAATGTTTAAGTGCCTATTTAAGTTTTTGTCATTTACCTTGGCTGTTTGGATAGTATCGTTACTAGCTATTATAAGAGAGTACAGGGCACATAACAGAGTAGTGTTCAGTGTTAAAAATGATTTATATGAACAAGCATTGGAAAAATTTCGAAGGAAAGAACCGATGAATAGAACCTCTGAGTTTCGAGGTAAGGTTAAACTTATGCATTTAACTATTACTTTAAATTAGACCATTACAGTGATCAATTTCATAGAGCCGTATCCTATTAATTTAATATTTGCGCGCGCCTCAAAGAGCCATCAGACCACCACGGATGAGGCCCAACAGGGTCAATGCCGAGAACGTAAAAGATACCGGAACTCTGGCTCCAAGTGCAGGAGTAGGAACGGGGTGGTTTTTAGTTAGGAAGAGTCTGACACTCCCTCCCGCCTCACCCAGGCGGGTGAAGGAAAAAAGCAATAATCAGTTTCGTTGCTCTATACAAAAAAAAAAAAAATTGGCCTGTTAACTGTTAAACAATTTAAGTTATATATTTTAGTCGTTAGAGCCCTAGAAATAAGGGTTTGAATAAATACAATAGTGTATGTCGAGATATATATATCTACGTCTTTCACGCTGTGTTTTTGACACCTGTACGTCTGTCTTGTACTGTCTTATCATGTGAATGCTTTTGTTCGTCATTTATATTTGATTGGCATTTAAAGTGATTTAGATGTATTTATTTGTATGTTAACCATGGAATTATGGTTATGTTAATCAAAGACCATCATCGATCACATATTTGTAAATTTTACAGCATGGCAATTACTTCCCGTCCAAAGCACTGGATTATCAAATGGCGAGATAAGGAGTATTATAAAAGGCTATAAATATCCACCAGGTAAGAAAATACAGTACATACACTTGATGTGATTATGATATCACATTTGAATTGCATCGAAGGAGATATATAGAAAAGAAATAAATTATTATGTTTTCGGCTTAATCACGTAACTGTTTGACGAGGAACTCGACTAGTTTTAAGCCATGCTCTCTAGCATAGCTTAAATATGAGCCTCTGCTCATATTTATGAGCAGCATTCCTCAACCCGCGTCGCGGCGACTGTCGCGCTGCTACTGACTGCTCAGCAGTAACGTGAGTAAGCCAAAAACATAATAATTCATTTAGGATGTCACACAAAGTAATAATGAAATCCTTATCTATTATTAACATATAATATCTAATCGGCAGACATGCAAGCACCTAGCTATTTTGTAAGAAACTATTATATGTTAATGGGGCCTGCCGTACTTTTGTTCAATGTGAAGAGTTTTTATATTTTGTCCTATCACAGCAGCTGTCAAATATTGATCGTATAACGGTGTTACACTAGCTAATTCCCTATTGGACGAAAGCAAGAGGTTGACATTAGCGCCAACTACGGAACAACAATACGGAACACCCCATTAAAAGCAGCTTGTGCATTAAAAGTACCTACCAATGTCTAAGTCTTCATCATCAACAGCTAATAAATGCTGAGCAAAGCCTCTTCTCACATAGAGAATGTTAGAGCATTAATCACCACGGTTGCTCATTGCGGGTTGGCGATTTCAAACTTATAATTAGAAATTATGAGCCCAGGTTTCCTCACGATATTTTCCTTTCACCGTTTGTCAATGATTTCTAAATAATCTTAGTACATATAAATAAGGGAAATGTCACATAGGTACTTGCCGTTGGTAGGTTTCGAACCCGCATCCTCATGCATTAGAACCAGGCATCTTAAGCCTCCGGGCCACCACGACACACATCTCCAGGCCACCACGTCTAAGTCTTTTCATCAATAAAATTATTATTTATTCTTTTAGGTGCTGATGGTAGACCAGTAATCCTAAATGATCATTTAAGGTATTATATTCGACAAGAAATTTATAAGAGTTGGAGAGACCATGGTTTTAATAGCTTTGTTAGCGATTTGATCCCAACCAACCGGACCTTAGCAGATCCTAGAGGAGATTGGTAAGTTTTTGATGGCGGTAAACGAGCAGCTAGACCACCTGATAATAAGCATTGCCCGTGAACACCTGCAACGCTGAAGGAATTACTAGGTGCTGTATCGAATGCGTTATTGGCCTTTTTAGGGTTAGGGATTTATGAATTGATAATATAGAGGGAGGAATAGGCCTCCAATAACCTCGCTGACACTATAAAATGCAACGTAGCATTATTTTAAGTCAGTTTTCTATGAAGCATTGTTATCGGAGGCCTAATTACCCCTCTTCCCCGATCCTTGAATCCCAATAATCCTCAAATTACTAATCCCAAAAGGCCGGTAACGCACTTGTAACGCCTCTGGTGTTCCAGGTGTCCATGGGCGATGCCGATATGCCGATTGCTTATCATCAAGTGATTCGTCTGGTCTTTTACCGGCTCATTCCTTAAAAAACAACCATTTTTGTCGAGCCAGCATATGAGCCAATTTTTGGATTGTCTTATTTGTAAAGTGGATTATTTTTAAACATTACTTCATCATTGTTATTTAACGGCAACTTTTGGTAATAATTATATTATTATATCGCAGGTGCAAGAAGCAAAACTTTTCGTCAGACTTACCTAAAGCTACGGTTATAATCTGCTTCTACAATGAAGCATGGTCCACATTGATGAGAACAATATCATCAGTAATGAACAGGAGTCCATCACATTTGTTAGAAGAAGTCATATTAATTGATGATTTTTCAAATATGGGTGAACTTTTATTTAGATACATTTATTGACAACCACTTTTTAGAACTTGTTTATCTGACTCTGTACTGCTACTACCATTCACTGCCACGTATTAATTAATTACTGAATTTGTATAAGTTTTTAATATAGACATGTCATTCGAATGTGAAAAATCTTTTGAAACTTATAGACCACCTCAAGAAGAAATTAGAGAAATATGTACGTAATACACCAAAAATAAGATTAATTCGTACAACTAAACGTGAAGGGCTTATTAGAGCAAGATTGTTGCCAATAAAGGATTTGAAGACACCTGTTATTATTTATCTTGATAGTCATTGTGAATGTGCTGACGGTGAGTTGGTCTCATTCATTTATTTCCGTATATTAGGCTTTTATTCCGTGTTATGGGTGCGATTCAAAACATACAATTTGACATTCATATGACACCCAGACTCGGAACAATAATTTGTAAATTGCACAAAGAGTTCTTCCGTGCGGGAATTGAACTCGCGACACGTTACACGGGAGTCAGTTGCCCAGCTGGCCCAATATAGTAGCATAAACTGTAGCTTTCATCACATTTGTCTTAAAACATTTTTCAATCTTTTGCTTGTAGGATGGTTGGAACCTCTGCTACAATGTATCAAAGAAAACCCAACTCGAGTAGTAAGTCCAGTAGTCGACCATATTCATGATACAACTTTCGAATACATTGCACAAACAATTGACGACCTTCGAATCGGTGGATTTAAATGGGATCTCAAATTCGAATGGATTGGTGTACCAAGAGCAGTAATTGAAAAACGAAGTAACATCTATGCTCCTATAGCCACTCCAACTATTTCTGGTGGTCTCTTTGCTATACACAAGGACTTTTTCAAAAAACTCGGCTACTATGACGAAGGACTTGAAATATGGGGCGCAGAAAATTTGGAACTGTCCTTCAAGACTTGGATGTGCGGTGGTTCTTTAGAAATAGTTCCTTGCTCCCACGTCGGCCATGTTTTCAAAAAGAACATTTCGTCTGCGTTTCCTGCGCAGGAAACTATAAGGAGAAATCTTGTACGGTTGGCGAAGGTATGTGTTAATTTGAATCAAAATCAGAATTGCAGTAATTTTAAAGAATCAATGTTAAACATGTATTATTACATGGAATACCTTCGAAAGCTAAAGAGAAATCAGAGTAAAATAGTCTACTTGCTACCAATTACTACTGCTTTCTCAATTCCTTTTTTGTGGGAGGAAAATAATTCAATGACTTTTCGGCCCGGGTGAGGCGAAAGAGATTGTCGGACTCTTACTGACTAAAAACCACTCCGTTGTTACTCCTGCAGCTGTAGCCATTTAGCGCTTGTCTACTTGTAGAGTAGAAAACTAAATTATATGGAATTGACGTAAATTTTGACTACAAGCGCTAAAGTTGCGTTTGGCTAACGGCGCTGGTGCTTATTATCTACATTACACTAGCAAAATATTAAATAATATAGAAAATATACTGAATTCAAACATAAATTATTCGTTCGTCAAACGTGATGATGTTTAACACGAACAAATACAAAATCATTAGGAGATAGAGTTGCTATCTCCTATATATTTGTTTTCTTAATATTTGTCATTTCTAGGTCTGGCTTGATGAATACGCGAAATATTTTTATGAACGAATCGGTAATGATTTAGGAGACTATGGCAATGTTTCTTCACGGATCGAACTTCGCAAGGAAATGAATTGTAAATCGTTTAAATGGTATCTAGAAAATATTTATCCACAATTGGAAGTGCCTGATAATAATATTGCCAGTGGTGGAGTAAGTAACTTATTTAATAGTTTTTTTTATTAAATAAGCGAGTCAACGAACAGAGGGATCACCTGATGGTAAGCAATCGATGTCACCCATGGACATTCAAAACACCAGAGGCAAGGGCGTTACCGGCCTTTTGGGGATTAGGAATTTGAGGATTGTGGGGGATTCGGGGATTGAGGAGATTGGGGAGGGGGATAATGGGGCCTCCGCTAACATCACTCAGAGGACGAAACACAGCACAAGTGTTGTTTCACGTCGGTTTTCTGTGAAGCCGTGGTATCACTCCGGTCGAACCGGCCCATTTGTGCCGAAGCATGGCTCTTCCTCATTTAAGTAGTAACAATAGTATACTTTATATCCTTCTAATTCTTAAATTAATCTTGAAAGACAATACAACTAGCCCCAAATTCAAAGGTCCGTCTGCAATATGGCCAATTACCAAAATATATGGCATTTTTAGAAAAACTGTAATGAGAATTATGCTTTGATACCAATATATCGTCAATACGATCCAGTCGACCCAGATTGCACTATAGTCACAGATGAAGGCTGCTGATATATTTTTTCTAGATTCTTAGTATTGGCAGCCCTGGTATATGCTTAGATGCTTACATAATATCCAGGGAGCGTTATGGTGATACTGTTAAACTATTGCCATGTCATTTTCAAGGCGGTAATCAGGTAAGGACACATTTTACTGTTTACAGGGTGTCCGTGAAGTCGACAATCAAATGGCACCAAGTGATGTGCGAGGTTCCAACAGTTATCAGAAAAATATTTAAAAAAATCTAAGTCATATAGGTATTAATTTCCAATGACTTATGTGTTATCCACGTAAACTACACCCTGTTCCAGTTTTTTCAGTCTTGCTGCTACAACTTCTTATTTTTCTTTCAGTATTTTTGCTTATGTTATCCTGAATAGTGCTCCAATATTATGAAATTATAAATTAAGATTTTTTTACGTTTTTATGATAACTCTTGGTACCTCACCAATTACCTTTGTGCCATTTGTTCGTGACAACAAAATTACTTGTTTTAATAGTAGGTAACTAAATTGCCTTTAAACTGTCAAACACCAAGCGGTCACCGGTGACCGCTCGGTGTTTGACAGTTTAACAACACGACATGTTTAACAATGACAATACGACATACGTTATCAATAAATATTTTATACAGAAAATATTTATCAAGAAATTAAAAAGAAATAGAGCTAGCGGTTCCATTTCCTTGCTCCTAAGTTTACTTTTCACAAATCACCTAACGAGTAGTCTACTTAACATTAACGTCCCGAGTTTGGTCATAGAATGAGTAATCTATGGTATGTGTACCATATACTGTAGTGTAATATTGTAACTATTATTGAGTTTGTTTTTATTATAATAACTATCGTGAGACATACTAAATTAACTAAAAATCACAGGTTACTCACGAGAAAATACAGAATGGTACTTCCTCATGAGCAGCGTGCATGGTCGCGGCAATGTCGTGTCTCTGTGGCTCGAAACTAGAGCTGTCCTCAGTATTTTCACGTGACCCGCAATTTTTATCGTTTTGTCCATTTAATCATTTTTTTATTTAAAAGTATTTTATTTCAGTTCTGGATGTACAGTTTACAAGGTGAAATAAAACACGACTATTTATGCCTGGACTATTTATTTAATACAGTCACATTATTTTTCTGTCGTGACTCTGCTTCACAAGTTTGGTTGTATAATGACAAAGTAAGTAATAAAGATACTTTTAATATGTCTACATAATTAAATGAAGCCACACTGCGCTACATGAAGAAAAGTATTATCCATGGTGACTAAAGTTACACCTGAAAAGAAATTCCTTTCATTTTCGGATGATGCATAAGAGATGCATTAACTCGTCGAGTACCGTCAATATAGACACAATTATAGAACAATAGGTTGCGGTCACCAGTGACCGCTTGGTGTTTGACAGTTAAAATTGAGTAGTATAATAAATGGAAGAAAGAAAGAAAGAGGTAAGTAAGAATCGTTGCAATTGGCGGTCCATAGTTGACTGCACGATTGGTGCGATGGCTGGGCAATCGGCTGCCGTGCAATGTGTCGCGGTTTCGATTCCCGCAGTGGAACAACACTTTGTGTGATCCACCGATTGTTGTTTCGGGTCTGGGTGTCATGTGTATGTGAACTTGTATGTTTGTAAACGCACCCCCAACACAGGAGAAAATACTAGTATGGGGCAAATAGTTTAATAAAAAAAAATCTCGGCGGTCATAGTCCTACCGCCATGGGAGACAGGCGTAGTAGTAACAATTCTAACAAACCAAGCAAGAATGAAGACGAAATTACAAGAGTTCATTGAATTTTCTTTCTTTATTAAATTTTTAAAGAATTAATATAATGTTCTTTCAGACCCAAACTATAAGACACAGACAGACTAAAAAATGCTTGAATGTCGGAAAATTCCCAGAAGGCTTGAAGGTAGTGTTATCGCAATGCTCGCATTCATCATCACAGAAATGGGTCATGGAACATTTTAATCCTGAAAAACTTACTCCACTAATGCAGAATGAAATAACCCAATGGTACAATATGACGATATTGTAAGATATGGACGTATAGATAAGAAAAATTGTTATTATCTATATAATTATATAAAAATGAAACCCGTTTCCCGTTGTCACGCCATAACTAGAGAACGGCTAAACCGATTTGGTTGTTTGTTTTTTTTGTTATCGTCAGAAGAAGGTTCTTGTAACAGAAAAATGTCCAGAAAATTCTACGGGAATTGGAGAAACGGGATTGCGCGTACAAAGTCGCGGGTAGAACTAGTGATAAATATTAACACAAATATGTAGTTACTAAGCTTGATAAGAGAAAGATACCTGTTTTTTAGTAATATATGATTTTGTAAACACACAATTACATAAAAACATACAGAAGAATAGAATTGGTAACGGTATTTTATTATAGTAGTAGCAAGTAAGTATATCTATTTTTATGAAAATTTAAATAGTTGAGTATGTTACTATTCTGTCTCCTGGAGTAATTCACCGAGGGAAGTAGAAACTATCGTATTTTCTCCTCTTATAATTTCTTCTGATTCATTTCGTTGCGGCAACCAAGACATGTCTCTGAGACGCGCCGGACTTCAGTGTTCCAGTGTTTTCATGGTTGTATCTACTGTAAATCCTGGCTTACAGGAGTTGCAGCGGTTTTGGGAGGTTGCAGCGGGCTTTTCCCAAAAAAAGTATACTTATCAACAGTCAATAAATGCCCACTGCTGAGCAAAGCCTCTTCTCACATGTAGAAGGTTTGAGCAGTAATCACCACGTTTGCTCAATGTGGGTGGTCGATTTAAAACTTATAATTAGAAATTATAAGCACAAGTTTCCTCACGGTGTTTTCCTTCATCTTTTGTCAGTGGTATCTAAATAATCTTAGAAAGTACATATAGCTCAGAAAAAGCCACATTGATACTTGCCGTTGGTAGGTTTCGAACCCGCACTCTCATGTATGAAAAGCTTAAACCCCCGGGCCACCATGATACGTTAAAAAGTATGTTACTGTACCCAAAATATTATTTTAATGATTGATGCTGCATTTAGATATCGAAAGAAATATTCAAATGTCGACGTAACACATAAGGTGACCGAAACATCATGAGTGCCTGAACTTATAGCTTTCATTGAACGATATTCATTATTTTAAGCCTATATTTTATATACATACCTATATAATGAGAATGTAACCTTATGCAAAAGCCAAGTAAACCACACTAAATAATTAATTCACTAACAGCTTTCCTAGCCAAAGAAACCGCGGAACCTTTGAAGTACCCACGGTAAGAATAAAGGTGGTATCCCTTAACCACAGAGGGCGCTATGTACCTTAGAGAATTTTATTATCGTCCTTTTTACTGTTAAACTCAACCTCAAATGAGGACCTCGTTTGAGTCCAGTGGCATTATTGTGGTTTGAAGGAAAAAGCGCTGTAACGAACACAAAGGAGATTTCGCTTTGTTCCAAATGTGAACGTTAGCTTTATTTTAGACTAAAATAAAAATATGCAACGCGGGAAAAAGTTATTTTTTTACATGCGTCCATATTTTTTTTCGGTATGGTAATTTTTTACGTATGTTTTTTTTTGCTTATAACAGTTATGTGATTAATTAGCTGTGTGTATGTTTGTATCTTATTAACGGACATTATTTTTGTAAATTAATTAAATATAAAATGAAACATTTTTGTTGTTAATATTTCTTAATAATAAACAATGAAAGACATATTATAAATGTGGTGTACTTTATTCCTACATGGAACAGTATCTACCAATTGAAAAAGAGCTACCACACTCAATTAAAAAAAAAACAGACAGAACAAAAAGTATTTGCAAGAATTTATTAAGATTTAAACTCGACTAAGGTACACTAAGCGAACGCATTAATTAAAACTTATTATCTTTTAACAAACACTAATTAATTTTGCTCACTGTCCTACTGGCTGTTTGTTTTAATGATAAATATGGCTATTATCTGTCTGCCTGTCGCTTTAGGAGTTATACATAATTATACCTTGCTTCCGTACATAATGTATTAATTCTGAATCCTATTAACTCGTCGAGTACCGTCATTATAGACACAATTAAAGAACAATAGGTTGCGGTCACCGGTGACCGCTTGGTGTTTGACAGTTTAAATTAACTACAATCACGGGATACTCACGTGAATATATTGCGAAAAGTTCTACTAGTTTCGAACCACAGAGGGGTTCTTCCTCATAAGCAACGCGCGCAGCTCACTGGCTGGCGTTAGCGCTCGCATCGGTGTTGCTCAGTATATTCACGTGAGTAACCCGATTCTAGTTCATTCTGAATTCCTTAAATTTTGTAAAGTATTACATTTTTTGCTACATAATAAATAAAAAAAGTCGTATCCGTTTACTTCCCCAGACACAATGACTAAATATTTAAATGAATTACTTAGCCGTGTGATGAAGTGAGATCACTCTTTACGTTTGCTGCAGCTTTTTTTATGTGATTAGCTGAGAAACGAGCAGACGGATCACCTGATGGTAAGCAATCAGCGCCGCCTGTGAACACCTAAATCACCAGAGGCGTTACGAGTGCGTTACCGGCCCTTGGAATTTAAATATTGTTCTGGATTCAGAGATTGGGGCGATTGGGGAAGGGAGAGGGTGATAATTGGTCTTCCACTAACCTCACTCACACGACAAAATGCGACACAAACGTTGTTTCACGTCGGTTTCTGTGAGGCCGAGGTGTGTGTGTGGTATTACTCCGGCCGAGCCAGTCCGTTCATGCTGAAGCATGGCTCTCCCACAGTGGACGGAACGTGGTTTAAGAACAGACTAAGAGACAACGTATTTGACAGAAAGAGACAACGTATTTGTTATAAATTTGACAACATAGCTATAGAAAGAGTAGATGTCGTTAGAGATCTTGGTGTGTTGCTGGACTCTAGATTGCTATTCTCTGAACACATCGATAGTACAGTTGGTAAAGCCTCTCGTAATCTTGGATTTGTAATGCGCACATGTAAACCATTCAGAAACCTTCATAGTCTCAAGATTGTGTATCTTGCTTATGTCCGCAGCACATTAGAATATTGCAGTCCTGTCTGGTCTCCTCTATATAATATTCATATATCTCGTTTGGAGAATCTTCAGAAACGATTTATAAAATTTTTAAATATTAAAAGCCATAAACGCCACGCATCTTATCTGACGGATTGTAAACATTACCACTTATTGCCACTTGATGACAGACGGCAGATGTTGGACATGCTCCTTCTTTATGATATCCTGCGGGGTGGGATAGATAGCAGTGATCTCTTGTCATGCGTTGAATTCTGCACGCACAGGTGTCGAACAAGACATACTCACTTGCTTAGTATACCCTCACATCGTACGAATTATGGGAAAAATGCTGTTATGACTCGACTACCTCGCATTTACACAGAGAAGTTTGAGAGTGTGGATATATTTAATTTGTCAAAGGTATCCTTTCGTAAGTCGCTTATACAAATACTCACTAGTGCGTGACTCTTATAACATTATTATTCTTCTTAATTATTGCTTTATAAAAAAAATGTCCTTGATTGTTTAATTTTATTTTATATTGCTCACTCTCCTACTTTTACCTAACGCATGCTGAAAAACTCTGTTATTGGCTTAAGTTTCCATGCCTTGTCATTATTATAGATGTAGCATTTACTAAATAAGCTGTTGAGTTTTCTGTAATAAAAAATAAAAATAATAAATAGAAACCGAACAGAAGCGCTTCTGATAAACCTGAACCGATCGAACCGAATATTGCGATCTCCGATTGCCGAAGGGACTGGTAGTCTAGCAGTGGACAACAACAATCGAATGGTGATGATGATGATGATGAAATTTCTTTTTTTTTTGCCGTTACAGCTTCGTTGTCATCATCGGCCAGTTATCCAGTCAAATGGGTTATGATAGCTTTTTTTATGGCAATAAACGTAAACGAGCAGACGGATCCCCTGATGGTAAGCAATCGGCGTCGCCCATGTAATGGGCCTGGAATACCAGAAGCATTACAAGTGCATTACCGACCTTTTGGGGATTAGGAGTTTGACGATTGTTGGGAATTCGGGGATTGGGGAAATTTGGAAAGAAGGGAGGGAGCTGGGCCTTCGGTAACCTCACTCACACGACGAAACACAACGCAAGCGTTGCTTCACGTCGGTCTTCTGTGAGACCGTGGTATCACTCCGGTCGAGCCGGCCCATTCGTGTCGAAGCATGGCTCTCCCACACTTAAAACGTTACCAGATTTAATACACCACTGACTTCGATTTTTTATCATACATAACCTGGCACTACATGTATATTTTATTACTAAAGCTTGCTGGAAATTCCTACATTAGAAGGAATATAACAAATTCTTATTGCTATTCCGTTCCAGCAATTGAATTGAACTATTTCGAGAACTGAGTAATGAAAATGTTAGGATTCTGGTTGTCGCAGGCTGAGGGATACGTATATTTACTTACCTACATCAAATATATATCCATATTATGTAGATTGTACGTACTTAATCTAAGTGAAATGTGTATAATAGATAACATAACATAACGTCACGCCTTCTATCCTTGAAGAGATAGGCATAGGTGTACATTATGCCACTATACAATGTAACACCCACTTTTCACTACTTATGTTATGAGTCCCATGTAATAGGGGGTGGGTCTCGTGCCATATACCGGGCACAATTCCAGACTCCGTGCTACTACTGTAAATTTTTTGAAAAACCCAGTAATTCTTTGCCCGACCCGGGAATCGAACCCGAGACCCCTTGCCCGGCAGTCGCACTTGCGCCCATTCTGCCAATGAGGTCGTCAATTTTAATACATAAGTATGTAAATCCTCTGGTGTTGCAGGTGTCCATGGGTGGCGCTGATCACTTACCATCAGGTGATCCTTCTGCTCGTTTGCCTCCTATTCCATAAAAAAAGCAAAATTCTAGCTGAAAGCAATTTACATTAGAAAAAAGAGAACCACGTAAGTAAGGCGCTTAAAACGGATTCTGATACAGTACATTTGGAGCTCACATAAAACGAAC